ACAAACCACATCAGCACCTTAAAACCAAACACCAATGAAGCCTACATAGTAACCATACCAAACCTACAGGAAATAAGTGAGTGTGCACTACAAGGCTGATCACACGATGCAGCGCTCACTGTCCAGAGAAACTTCAAATGGCCAGGTGTGTGTTTGTGACTTGGAATAGGGTTCTGTTTTGTATACATTCCTCAGTATGCTTCATTCAAGGTCTCCTATGTTCCTTATCAGTGCTTTTAGGAGAAAAAAAGTGTCAGGACAAGAGAACACAATGGAAAGGTGTACACGTAAGGCAATGTAGTGCAGCATGTGTCTTGCTGCAGCTTGGGCGGGGCTTACAGAGTGTGTAACACCTGGCCTCCATGGCAACTCGGCTAGGGCACTAGGGGAACAGAGGGTAGGTGTCATGGAGTTGGCAGCACCAGGCCACCGCCTGCTATAGAGAGAGGGAGGATTTTTGGAGGTGTGGAAAGAAAGAAAGAAAAGTGTGTGTGTGTGTGTGTGTGTGTGTGAGTGAGAAAGAGACAGAGAAAGACAGAGGTGCTGCCATATGTCCTATTTCCCTGCTGGTATGGTAAAGGGGACTCAAGAGTGGCACAGGGGAATGAAGCGGAGCAGGTGGAGGAGGACTGCCATTCAGGATCCAATCAGAAGCAAGCAGCTCTTACAAAGCAGTGAAATGTATGGGATGATCCCTGAAACCCTCTGCAGCTCTAGAGAAGAGTCACACTCAACAAGTTCTCCCCAAATAGGAAAGACAACAGGTGTCACAACAGCAAGGTGAGGAAACGCTGCTGACTGATCGCAGCTAGTAGTGAGCAGAAATATGAACACAGGCACTGTGTCAGCTTTCAAAAGCTGTCCAAACCCCGAAAACTCTGAACCCCCAACACCCCTGCGTATGGAGTTAAGATTCACCTGAGGCTCCGGTGGCGATTTAGCATGTGGTCAGGAACAGATCATAATTCTGATGGTGGATATTACGCTGTACATACAATATGAAACAAAAGACATAGCAAATAAAAATTCAAAAATATATACATTCAAGAATGAAAGAAAGAAAGAAAGCAACAAACACCCGTGTATGAAATAATGGAATATCATAGTAGCATTACAAGACCAAAACCGGACTTAATTTATAGATTATGAACAGAGTCATTAGAACAAATATACATATACGAACACAATTATAATTTGAGACCAGCATGATTACACAAATCAGACATAAAACTGTTATACCAATAATTTAAAAAGTACATGATAGCCAAAAAACAAACAAAGAAACAACAGAAAAATAAACCAGCCATTCCAAGTCATCCCATCTTAAAAAGACCACATAAGCTCTCCACTCAGATAAAGTAGGACATTTTCACAAATTATTAAAGTAAATTTGAAACTTGCAATAGATATGCAAATTTGATGTAGCTCTTATAAACGACCTCTTCAGCATGACAGACTGCTTCTAAACACCTATGACAATGTCCCTTTTTTATTTCTAAAGAAAACAAGTGAATGGTCAGTGGAGAATCACAAAAGACAAAAGTGGTCTGCACACATTCACTATCCTCCTCTTAATGGCTTTGCAATTTCTTAACCTTTCAGTGTTTAAGACATTAGGAGCTTCGGGGGAAAAAGAGATTCACATATGGACTTGTCTAAGGTCACATCACAGAAGTTTTTATCAAAAAGCTGCTTTGTTGCCTGTTAAAGTCAGTTTGGAGAAATCGGTTTCTACATTTATATCCCACAGTTCAACTAGATTCAGAGCAAAGTGTATGTTATGTGCATTATAGTCAACATTCATAGATGTCTGTTTACATTTACTCCAGCAAAAAAGTGACACCACACCCTGATGCCACTCTGTGTGAGAACTCAGCCTTAAAGAAGCATTGCACTCATGTGACATTGTCTCATCTCCTAGTGCTACCGAAATGAAAAAATTAAATAAAAATCCAGTTAGAAGTGACAAGACGACTACTCACAGCCACACACACACACACACACACACCTGCATACACACAGCACAGTTTTAAGTTCTCTGCAGTCTGAAGACGGTTGATGAAGTGCTTATTTGTTAAAAGAGGAGCTCAGTTGGAGGACTTGCTGATGGCGCTGGCCGAGCGCCGGAGTTTTCCTGAAACCCGGTTCTTGGAGGCGCGAGGCATGGTGGGTGAAGCTTGCTCAGTAGACTCGCTGCTCGTCACAGGAACGCTTAGTTCAGCGCTCATGCTGCCAGTGAGGGAGCCTGAGGAATGGCAAGCGACAAGACAAACATCAGCCATGGCACTGTGACTGAGAATTGACTGAACATGCTTTCTTATGGAGTAAAGCCAAATTTATGTAAACACATGCGAGTGCAGCTCTAGAAAGGTCTCTCAAGGTTGGAATGAATTAAATTAGGTAAATACTTAATTAGTCTCAACTGAATGATTTGGATTAAGGTGTTCTGATTAACAAAAAAACAAACAGAAAAGCATAAATACATTTATTAATTACACAAAAATAAATAACTATTTAGTTAAATAAAGAACTAAATATATAAAATAATTATTCAGTGAGAACCGAACTAGCAGGGAGATGCCACAGGTTGACTTGCTAAGCCATTACAAATTTCTGAACCTGACTGAATGAATAAAAAAAAAAAAAAAAAATACATTTATTTATTCCACTATTTGGAGTAAAATTAAAAACTGAAGACCGCACAATTATTCAAATTATGCATTAAAATAGGTCTTCCAGCCCAGCTTCTTGAAATTGTGAAATTAAAATAAGCCTTCCACATTGTAAAGCTGGCATCTGCTCGGCTATTTTATTTCTGCCGTTCTTTTCTGTCATTTTCTTTCTTTTTTTTTCATGGGCATCTCAAATTACTGAGAGCAGATGGTGTAGGGAACATGTACTCAGCGGAGAGGGCCGCAGCCTCTGCAGCCTCCCTGCCCTCCACTCCAGGGCTTCTCAGAGTGAGGGGGAGGAGAGTGCAAACAGCGTTCCCTCAGCGGCTCAAAGGATGATGAGAGGAGGGAACGAGGGTGGGGAGGTGTCCCTTCCAGGCGTCATCCACACAGAGTGCTTTGTTAAGCTGCCCAGCTCACAGGATGCCAGCAGTGAGGATGTAGACTAATCCATATGTCTCTCACATGGCATAATGCTTGCTTGCTAAATCAGACTCACTGAAAAGTTAGGCATTGTGCTTGTGAGTCAGGGTATCCTATATTTTTGTAACTGGATGTTTTTAAATGGTAGCCATTTGCAGAATTGTGCATGGGCAAAAAGAAATGAGAGAAGGGAATTGCTTTTAGGAAAACAGGCACTGAATATAAACTGTCCTCTTGTGGTGAGAAAATATGGACTTTCAACATACATAATCCGCCGAATTCAAAGAACCCAGAAAATAAAAATCAAGAGTGAGAACTATACTTAATAATAAGACATGTTGGAAAAAGAAAGACGGGGAGAAACAGAGAAAGAGAGATAGATAGATAGAGAGAGAGAAAGAGAGGAAAAACTAGAGTAAAATAGGCTTCATTCCTATTGGTTCCCAGCAGCAATCCAAACAAAGCGTAAGTGGCAAAGACATTTTCCAGTAGGGCAGGTGTTAGTGTCAGATGTGGCCCCAGGCAAATAGGCACACGCCAAAGGACAAAAAAACAGAGGGGGGTAGATAAAGCAGGGACATGCCAGACAGAATTTAAAAAAAAAGAAAGGAAAAAAAACAAACAAAAAAAAAACACACACACACAATGAGCGCACCCATACCATACATGCTGCTACTATGTTACAACTGGTCCAGCCGTGCATTTTTCTCAGTAATCTTACCAATCTGATAGACATCCCCAAAACAATCGTCTCTCTGCATTCATTTCAAAGCTCTGGGCAAATGCAGTTCATTAGTGAAATAAAGACAGAAAGATGAGTAGACCAGCAAAAAAAGGAGGTGGGCTTTCTGTGATAGTACACAAGCTTCCAGACAAAGGGACTCTTACCTTCATTTACTGAACTGACACCTGTAACATTTCTAATCTATAAAAGGAGAGAAGACAATAAGCAACACGTAAGACGCACACAGTAACAGGGAGGAGGGAAGAGTGTGTGTGTGTGTGTTTGTATGTGTGTGTAGGACAGGGAAAACACAGGCAGGAAGGAGCAGAGGAAGATGATGATGAAAGATGCTGAGGGAAAGTGTGGAAATGGTGAAAAAAAACCCTTGTGTGTAGTTGCAATGTGTTAGTGGTTTCCTGTGAATAATAGTAGGACATCATGGAAAAAAAACCTCAAATATATTTTTAAAAAAGAGCTAAAAACAGTGAACTGAAACATGGTTGTCAAGAAGCGCAAAAAAGAACGGATCTGTCATCTGTTCAGTCTGACATACTTCAATCCTCAGCATAAATTTATTTGAAAGAAAAGAAAAAAAAAAAAAAGGTAAAAGTTGTATTTTTCATCATTGGAAACTCTCTCTCACACACACACACACACACACACACACACACCAGTGAGTAACCTCAATCGTATTAATTCACTGTAAAACCTATTGACCATAGATGTTAAAGCTAACAAGAGTGTTTAAAGAGAAAATGCATGAGAAGTTAATAACATTATTTTACACTGGAAATGTGAATATAGTGTACCTTTGAAAATATTTAAGGCACATAATTGGACTGGAATTACCTATTAGAGCAAAGCTTTAAAAAGGTACACTGTATGCAGCAATAAGGTGTACACACATGGTACCACCGAGCAACAAGGAACGGCAATGTTGAGTAGTCCCCCCCCTCATAGTGTAACATTTGTCTTATCCATCCATTCATCAAACACAGGCTCGTGGGAATCTGGAGCCTATCCCAGTGAACTCGGGGTGCCAACCTATCGCAGGGCACAATCTCACAGACATTCCCACAATTTGGAATTGGCAATCAGCCTACAACACGTCTTTGGACTGGGGGAGGAATACCTGGAGGAAACCCCCATAGCACAGGGAGAACCTGCAAACTCCACACATAGGGCAAAGGCGGGACTCGAACTCCCAACCGCAGAGATGCGAGGAAAACGTGCTAACCACTAAACCACCGTGCCACCTGATTTGTCTTATTGTTAACATTATATTAACATTCACCCACGTGGCCTTATCTGCTAACTTGTAAGCTTGCTTATCTGCTAATTTGTAATCCGGGTGTATGTTGAAACACACAATGCTATCTTAAATTAGCAGGTTATCAATATTAGCTAGCTGTCTGTAAAAGTTTAAGCCCAAACAAAACTATCTTGCTATCATCTGAGAAAATCATTCTTCAATGTGTTTGGTCTAATTGGTAAGCTAGCTAAACTAGTGAGAAGATCATGCGTAGGTATACGGTAAGCATGCCGTTCAGTGATAAAGTCAGGGCAAAGTGCTTCATCAGCTGCGTAAGTAGAGTGCATGTGAAGCTGTAGGAGGTGAAACCAGTTAATATTTTAAATGACTGATGACGTTAAAACAATTAATATTAATTTCATGGGGTTGAAAAGTTCACAGCGAAGATTAACTTCTCAACAAAGGTGAAATCTTTCATTTTGATGGTACGAAGGTACTCGACAAAATGACCAGCCAGTCTCCCCTGGAGTTCTCCAATGTATAGCTGATGTACATCTTTTAGGGCGAAATCAATAAATGTGGCCTGTGATTTTATTGGCTGTGTTGATAAATATACAAGTGGAACTGTTTGAATGGTTGATTAACTCCTGATAAGAAGGTCTCTGATGTTTTGTCTTGTCTACAAGATATGAATGAGTTCTTAAAAAAGGAAGCAGTCCAAGTATAAGGTGAGCCAGTTTTATAAGTGATAAGCACCAAAGGAATTCTCTGTCTTAGCAGCAAGTTGTTCATGGTCAACACATACATTCTCTCAATACACAGTATGGTAAGACAGTCTTGGCAAAATTGATGCTTTTTTAATGACCAGGTTTCAACTCCTACTGCTTCACAATCACTTAGTCTGCGGATACATCCTGTTTCCCTGGAAAGCTTGTGTACTAATGCTTAATGTTTATTATATCTTACTATTATTCTAATCATATATGATACAGGGTTTTGTACCATTTGCACTCGTCTGTGACCTGCATAGAAAGTGAGAGTCAATGTTTATGCAGAAAGAATATACAATTAAAGAGTATACTAATCATACTACATACTTACACACCCCTGTAATAACGGCAGGTTTTTGTGAAGTAAAAGAACACTAAGGTCACGTCAGAACTTTTCCCACCTTCAATGTGAAATCGCAAACATACAAATAAAGTGAAAAACAGACACCTTTTCATTGGGGAAAAATGAAAAATAAAAAAAAGTACATTAACCTAGCTGCATAAGTGTGCACACCCCTAAACTAATACTTTGTTGAAACACCTTTTGTTTTTATTACACCACTCAGTCTTTTTGGGTAAGAGTCTATCTGCATGGCACATTTTGATTTGGCAATATTTTCCCACTGTTTATTGCAAAAACATTCTACATCTGTCAACTTGTAAGGGCATCTCCTGTGCACAGCCTGCTTCAGGTCACCCTACAGATTTTTTTTAACTGGATTCAGGTCCGGGCTCTGGCTAGGCCATTCACAAACACTGATCTTCCTTTGGTTAAGCCATTATTTTGTTGATTTGGATGTTTGCTTTGGGTCATTGTCATGCTGAAAGATGAAAATCCACATTCAGCTTACTAACAGACACCTGAATATTTTGCACTAAAATTGACTGGTATTTGTAGCTGTTCATGATTCATTCCAACTTGATCAATTCCACAGTTCTGCATGAAGAAAAGCAGCCCTAAAGCATGATACTGCCACCACCATGCTTCACCGTGGGTATGGTGTTCTTTTGGTGATTTTTTTCTGCCAAACAACTCTTTCTGAATTCTTTGGCCTTTTGGAATTGGTCTCAGCAGACCATAACACATTTTGCCACATTGTTTGTGGTGATTTATTTGAGCTCGGATGTTTTTAGTGAGAAAGGGCTTCTGTCTAGCCGCCCTACCCCATAGCCCAGACTTGTAAAGAATATGAGAGATTGCGGTCACATGCAGAGAGTAATCAGTACTTGTCGGATATTCCTGCAGCTCCTTCAATGTTGCCGTAGGTCTCTTGGGAGCCTCCCTGGTAAGTTTTTGTCTTGTCCTTTTGTACATTTTGGAAAGACATCCTGTTCTTGGTAATGTCACTGCGGTGCTCCATTTTCTCTACTTGTTGATGATGGCCTTCATAGTGTTCCATGGTACATCTAATGTCCATTTTTTTAAATACCACACCCCAATTATAAAGCAGTTTGCACATTCATGCAACCAGCTTATTGTAACTTTTCCGTTTTTCTCCTGATTGTTTTTCACTTAATTTTTATATGTTGTAATTGTAAATATCTTTGCCAAATTTTATTATTTTTTCCATTACAAAAAACACCCATTTTAACAAGGTTATGTAGACTTTTTATGTCCACTGTATGTCCACAGTTTCAGTAAAATCTGAGACAGCTGAGCCATGTCTTTCCTAATACTTCATGTACATGCTAAAACTACTCCAGTCTCTGCCATAGATGGTTCCAAAAGTTCTTTAATTGTGATAATGAAGATCGGTCACTAAATATGAACTACCAAGCGTGGAAAAAACACATTAACTCAAATTCAAATATCGTTAAATTTAGCAACTATTTTCTGCCAGAACTATGAGACCATACAGTGGGGGAAAAAAGTATTTGATTCCCTGCTGATTTTGTACGTTTGCCTACTAACAAAGAAATGATCAGTCTACAATTTTAATTGTAGGTTTATTTGAACAGTGAGAGACAGAATAACAACAAAAAATCCAGAAAAACGCATGTCAAAAATGTTATAAATTGATTTGCATTTTAATGAGGGAAATATGTATTTGACCCCTCTGCAAAACATGACTTAGTACTTGGTAATGACTTTTAATTTTCAATGCCCTGGCTCAGGGAAGGAGGTTCTCACCCAAGATTTGACGGTACATGGCCCCGTCCATCGTCCCTTTGATGCGGTGAAGTTGTGCTGTGCCCTTAGCAGAAAAACACCCACAAAGCATAATGTTTCCACCTCCATGTTTGACTGTGGGGATGGTGTTCTTGGGGTCATTGGCATCAACTCAACTCGCCATGTTTGGAGGAGGAGGAATGCTGCCTAAGAGCTCCATTTTGGTCTCATCTGACCACAACACTTTCACCCAGTTGTCCTCTGGTGGTCAGATGAGACCAAAATGGAGCTCTTTGGCATAAACTCAACTCGCCGTGTTTGGAGGAGGAGGAATGTTGTCTATGACCCCAAGAACACCATCCCCACCATCAAACATGGAGGTGGAGGGACGTTGGACGGGGCCATGTACCGTCAAATCTTGGATGAGAACCTCCTTCCCTCAGCCAGGGCATCGAAAATTAAAAGTAATTACTAAGTCATTACCAAGTACTAAGTCATGTTTTGCAGAGGGGTCAAATACATATTTCCCTCATTAAAATGCAAATCAATTTATAACATTTTTGACATGCGTTTTTCTGGATTTTTTTGTTATTCTGTCTCTCACTGTTCAAATTAAAATTATAGAGTGATCATTTCTTTGTTAGTGGGCAAACGTACAAAAACAGCAGGGGATCAAATACTTTTCCCCCCCACTGTATCTGCTCCAATAATGATACAGTGGTGCCTTCTCCTCAATGTAAACATGTTTCTGCAACAACACACCATTACAACATCGTTGTGTTTTTTTTTTTGTTTTTTTTTTTACACTGACGGATAACAAAAAAAAGGGATCATTTTTACTGACACATGGCACATTTGGCCAAAAAGAATTCATGATCAATTTGAGGTTTTTAATGTTGATGAATAAATATTACAAGATGATGCCTCAGTGAGTTGGAACAATATGTTGATAATCTGAACATAGTTATTTTGTGCTTATCAACATGAGGGCGGGGAAACCAGGAGCAAGATGTAACCAGAGAAGAAGGTGTGTCCTATATGCACAACCCTGACGCCTTACACCACGTATCCTAAGGACCAACTCTGGCTCCATAAGCTCCAAACACTCACTGAACAGTCTGCAATTTACAGGCTGCACTTTTTGTAGAAAATATATGTGTGGTTTTGTTGAGGAGCGGTTAACACTACATAATGTAGTGTTATTTATTACCCATCGAAATGCACTGCATGTGTTTAAAAACAAACGCGAGTGCTCATTTGCATAAATTTTTACGGAATCCAAGAAATTCAAAAGACCAGTCCAAGGTTTTTTTTTCTCAGATCAGTGTGAGAAATGATGGCCTTGTTAGCAGCCAGTAGCTCCCAGTTAACTTTACTGACAAGAAACATACAAATTGATAAATTAAAGTTCCATATATTATACATATGTTAATTAAGTGTAACAATGCAGCCTCTCTCACTGCTGCTCCACTACCTGAACAAAAGGCTAAATATTTTAAAGTCTACTTTATGAACCTAATATCTTTACTACAGCGTTGTGAATTTTGTGTTGATTTGCTGAATAGGAATTAGAATTTCATAATAATAATAATAATAATAATAATAATAATAATTCATTTGATTATTATTTTTCTTAATTTTAACAACAACTTCACATAATAATTTTACTTAGTGTATTAGCAAAATATGTTGCATAGGTACCAAAGTCTTTTTAGGATTGTTCACAGTTCCAGCCTCTGTTTATTTAAGACTATGCTGCTTTGGTTAATAAATGACTCAAATATCAATAGGGAGAAGCTACTGAAAGCAAGTGGCTTCTGATGATGCTATTACTACTACTACTACTACTACTACTACTACTACTACTACTACTAGTTTTTATGTTATGATGCAGAATAATACTTAATTATACTTTTCTGCCTCAGAATTTTCCCTTCTTCTTGCAATAAAGATTTATCGAAAAACATAGTTTCAAGTTGTCTCTGTTTGCTATATCTATATATGTTAGCATCTTTGGTATATTTTCTCTTTTTCATTTGTTTACATAAAAACCTTAATTTGACTAAATAAGATGCAGTTCTTGGGCAGTTGTTGCCTGCAGTAATAAATCCAGCTAGTTCAA